CAATATCCCAACCTAACTCTGGCATCATTTTAGAGAGACCAGTCTAAGTGTGAACTTCGGTTGTTGGTTTATTGCTTTTAAACTAAAAATTGCCCGTTTTATTAAATGACTCTCCTTCCTACTAATATATCACTACCCTGCAACTGTGTCCAGGAGGAAAAAAACCAAAAGAATCCCCAGTTAAAACGATGCCACAGGCAACAGGATATTCCTTTCTTAGGACTGTTCGTCACTTTGCAAGTATTCAGTCTTCCTCCTGTTTGTCTTCCCCTCAGCCGTGTGTGGCAGGTCAGAGAATATTTTATAATCTCCACCTAATGAGTCCTTTCTTCTAGTGAATTCCAGAAAGCTTCTCTGTTTAGTTCTGCCTCTAGAGATCTTCAGAGAAGAACTTCAGCAAGAGCCTCTGCTCCTTCATGTGCGAGACTTGCTCTTTGGAGATCTGAAGCGAAACTGTGTGATCTCGAAAGCACAAGGTGAGTTCCTAGCTCTGCTCTGTTGATTTTCTGCTCAGACTGTGCTCTTTATATTCTCTTGCTTCCTTTCATATTCTTTAGAGCTCTGATATCATTACCGTGTACATTAGTAAGGAAAAGGGTACTTTATTCAAACAAGAGAAGATGGGATTATTGTCATGGTTTAACATCTCTGCAGACCACACAGTACTTAGCAAATGTGTGTTGAGACAATACCCATACGAAAATATGAATGAGTGAAAGAAAGAATGCATGAAATGAATCAGGGAGTGGACAGGACAGGACTCTGTCTAAGAGCATTTTATGAACACACGGTCGTAGATTACTGAGCTCAGTCTCATGCTGAACTTTGGTCTATTTAGAGGCTCTTTATCAAAGCGTTTAGACTTAGTCCAAGGAACCCACATGCAAATTTCCTTGTGACCATCACATGCACACACTTAGAGCAAAACAAAGCTGCTCACCAAGCACTGCTTACACTTTCACTTGAAGTTCATCTCTACTTTTAGTTCTTCTCTCTCTATCTGAGTTATTATTTGTGAATACACAACAGAACAGCTGTAAATTTGATCTTCTACCTGTGTTAGGAGATGGAACTAATAATGGCAATAGTAGTTAATATAATTTTTTTAAAATGCTGGTTTTGACTCACCATTCATTTCAACATCCATTAATAAATCATGACCTGCTTTTTGTAAAATACTGTGGTCGATCAATTTAGTTAATTAATTTTTAAAACCTTCTCTAAAATAAATTCATGGAAGACTTACTTGCTGGAGATTTGAGGAATACAACAACTTAAATTACTAATATGTATAATAAATATAATTTTTATTTTAAAGCAAAACAAACAAAAAAGGATAAAAATGATACAGAATTTAAGAAAAAATAGCAGGAAATCAACACTAGTTAGTGTATATTAGATATTGTTATCTTAAAAGTGTTTATATTACAAGGTTCAGGCATTTAAATATCAGGAAATAATCGAACAATGAAAACAAAAACTTTTCTTTTTGATGAACTTACCAAGAGTAGTAAATTGTTATCTATCTTACATATATGTACATACGGGCATATATGTGTACCTACATATAATATAATCTTTTCCCTTCTTCCTTTTCCCCTTACCACTATCCAGAAGGAGAATAGCTGGGTTGAATGAAATCTCTAATCCTACTTTTGGAGGAGTCTTCACACTGATTCCCACAGTCGTTGAACCAGTCTACACTCCCACCAACAGTGGAGAAGAATTCCTTTTTCCCCACAGTTTTGCCAAGTTTTATTACTGGTTGATTTCTTGATGACAGCCATTCTTTCTAAAGTGAGATGAAATCTCAATGTTGTATTAATTTACATCTCTCTAATGACAACTTACTTTGAATATGTCTTCATATATTTATTTGCCATTTGTATTTCTTTGGCTGCAAAATATTTATTCATCTCAGATGCACATTTTTGGGCTGAGTCTTTGAATTTGAGGTCCTGATATTTTGTTCAATTCTTTATATGTTCTAGATATAAATCTTTTGTCTGAGGGACAGCGATCTAAAATTTATTCCCATTCTGTGGGTTTTCTTTTCACTCTCTTGGTGATTTCTTTCAATGAGGAAAAGCTTTTTAATAAGATGAGATCCCATTAAGGATTTCTCTGTACAGAGGTGCTTTTGTACTAGAATTGCAATGATTCCTTATACTAGCTCATCAAACCAGAAAATTGGATTGACTGTAAACTATGGTAGATGGGCTCTGTGCTAGGCCCCTGTGGAGATAAATCAGTTCAGAGTTCTCTGAGTTTCAAGTATGCACTATAAGTTTTATCTAGTAATTATAAAGTAGATATTATCTCTATGTCACAGAGGATAAAAATGACCTTTAGAGAATTTAGAAATCATATTCAAATTATTAAGTAAAAATGTTACAGTCCAAACACAGTTGTCCAACCTGAAAATTCAGATACCTTTTTACTACTGCTGATCGCCCTGCATTTAGGGAATTATTTAATCATTCTGTGTCTTATTATCATCAGTGATCAGCTCAGCTATACGCTAGGTACAGAATGTCCTACAGAAACAACATTTAAAACAACCACATTTATTATTAATACAGGCATTTGACCTTGGAACCAGCCTCTCTGGGAATTGAATCTGCATGAGTTAGGATAACAGCACCTGACATAGAGTTACGTCCTGATATTGTTCCAGTTAACAGGACAGTGTCTCTAGTGTACTTCCTCTCTGAGTGAGGAGCCAAAACTTAAATATTCTTGCATATCTATCACTTGTCCCACTCTGTCCCCAGGCCCTATCTTTATCTCACCTCAGCTCTATTCTTAATGTTCCTGGGCTCATTGGGAACTCAGTTCCTTCCATATATGGCTGGGATGGCGACGTGGCATGAAGTGGTTGCTCTATTGGACAGATGGGGGCCACATTCTGAGGAGGGAGTAACAGTATGTGCCGTTGGATTACGTGAAGAGTGTAAGGGAAGGGGAACCACACTGAATTATTCTCACGTCAAACCATTATTTGTTGAAGACTTTGCAAGGTTTGACTAGATATTTAACATAGATTTTGATAACTGAAGAAGCTGTTTCATAAGGAGATTGTACAAACCATTATAGATTGTCCTTGCAATAAAATATGAAGTCTCAAAACACATATCTGCTGTTATTGCTAGAGCTTAACTCTAAGTTTTTTGTTGAGAGTATTGTACAAACGGTACCTTGCTTAGAAGTTTTTGAACTTACGTTATGAAACAATCCACAGAAGTTTCTTTAGTGTTGTGGTTCAAATATTGTTGTTGGTTTTCTTTCATTTTTATGTGTGTGTGTTTTCTCCCAGCAATTATATATACCACTGTAGCTACTACTACTACTAATATTTATTAAATAGTGTACCAACGCCTATGTAGTTAGGAAATAACTTGTAGGTTGTAGGTTGTGTATCAGGAAATATTGTGATTGATTAAATGTATCAATTAATTGCATTCTTCACACAGTTGGTGAGATACTGTCATCATGAAGTGGCTCACCTAAGGCTACCCCACCAATCAGTGGAAGGGTCAGGATTTAAGTGTAGAAAGGTCATTACCAGAGACCACAGCAGGCTGCTTCTCCAAATATTTGTACGGTCTCAAATCACCACTCTCGTTTTTATGAAATTGGGAATAGATTGAACTCAGACAGATGGGTACCAGGGATCAAACTCACCACCTTATGCTTGCTAGCCAGCAGCTTATCCCACTGAGCTAAATCCCAGGCTCCCAGACACTTCGTAATAAGATTTATCTCCAGCCATTTAAAAAATTGTTTTCAGTTTCTGGATTTTCAGACAGGATTGAGCTAAATAACTAAATTGTCTCGGGTGTGCTTGAACTTGTGTCAGCCTCCCAGGTTGCTGTGATTACAGATGTGTGCCACATACTTTTGTAAATTGCTGTAAAAATTTTACAATATAGTTAAAGTAGTATTATGATTTGTGTATGGATGTCTCCCCCAAAGCCTCATGCAGTCAGGAAGGATGGGCTTTTCACAGGTAGCTGGATCTAGAGTTTATGACTGATTCATAGTCTAATGCTGGAATTAAGAATGTAAGTCTATACCTACTCTAGGGTGGGTAGCTTATCAAAGGGATAGAAAATGTCTTGCCTCTTCTTTGTTGCTTTTTGTGTTTTCCACTAGCATGGACTGTTGTCCCACTGCCATGCCACCCTGCCTTGGAGCCAGCAGACTATGGACTGAAACCTCCACAAACTGAGCCAAATAAACCTTTCTTCCCTTAACTTGTGGGTATTGAGTATTTTGTCTCAAAAATGAGAAAAGTAACTAAGACAAGCAGGAAACACAGTGCTCACTTTCTGTTTTCAGTGTAGAAGTCAAATCCCATGGATGTCTAGTGTTGTTGTCCAGGAGATAAACAAGGGTGAGCCCTTCCTTCCTGTATCCTGTGTTGCTTCTCTGGAGAGGTGGAGCGAGGCGCAGCCTGAGCAGTGCAGTGTGCCCTGAATGGGCCCTGGCTTTGAGGTTGTTGCACTTTTCTTTGGTGAGTCCTTCAAGGAGTGTTTCTTCTGAGAAGTGAGAGGGCAATCATCTTTTCTTCGGCCTTAGGTGGCTCACAACTGCATGGATGATAATCTCAGATTTCACAGTATTTCACATCTACAAAAGCGAGGATGCAACATTAATCTAGTCACTTATCTGACAGCATGGCTGGGAAGATTAAAAGGGATAATATTTATTTGTTTCAGTCTACTCCATGCCAGGTGCTTAGCTAATGTAGGTGTTGTCTGGCTCTGAATATTTAATGTACAGAGGAATCACAAACTTTCAACCCAAATGAAAATATGCAATAGTTGAAAACTCAGTGGTCCTTTGGAATATCTGAGGGGGACTGGGAACTAACAGTTAACATACAAACTTCTACAGATGGAGGTCTGATTGCCATCTGAGAGTGTGCTGTGGGTCATTTTGTATGAGTATCACTTGTCCATTTCACTCTATTTGTATAGGTGAAACACAGTTTCCATATGGCGCTCATGGAGAACAGTACTGAGGTGAATGGTTTTAAACTCCTGGGACTGACCAGCATCCCAGAGCTGCAAATCCCCCTTTTTGTAATGTTCACCCTCATCTATCTCATCACTCTCCTTGGGAACCTGGGCATGGTTGCGTTGATCCTGCTGGATTTCCATCTGCACACTCCCATGTACTTTTTCCTCAGCAATCTCTCCCTGGTGGACTGCATTTACTCTTCAGCCGTGACACCCAAGGTAATGGCTGGACTTCTAACGGGGGATCTAAGTATCTCCTATGGTGGCTGTGCTGCTCAGATGTTCTTCTTTGTGGCTTTCGCCAGTGTTGACTGCTTCCTGCTTGCTGCCATGGCCTATGACCGCTATGTCGCAGTCTGCAAGCCCTTACAGTACAGCACTACCATGACCAAGAGCGTGTGCACCCACATGGTGCTTGGCTGCTACACCTGGGGCTTTGTAGAATCCACCACCCACACGGGGCTCACCTTCTCCTGCTCCTTCTGCCAATCTAATGTAGTCCATCACTTTTTCTGTGATATTCCCCCAATCTTGGCCCTGTCCTGCTCTGCCATCTATGTGAATGAAGTTGTGTTGTTTATCTTAGCAGCATTCAATGTCTCCTTTGCCTTGGTAGTGATCTTGATCTCCTACCTCTTCATACTGATTGCCATTCTGAGGATGCACTCTGCAGAAGGACGAAAGAAAGCCTTCTCCACCTGTGCCTCTCACCTCACTGCAGTGACCATGTTCTATGGGACCGTCATCTTCATGTACCTGCAGCCCAGCTCTACACATTCCATGGACAATGACCAAATGGCCTCTGTGTTCTATACAATCATAGTTCCCATGTTGAATCCGATTGTCTACAGTTTAAGGAATAAAGAGGTTAACAAGGCTCTCGAGAAAGCTGTGGCGAGGTCTAAGGCTTTACTTAGCACATAATTTTAATTAATGTATTGAATAATCTGTGTAGTTATTCAGTTATCTATTGCCGTGCCACAAACTAACCCAAAATTTATTGGCTTAATACAATGGTTTCTTATTCATCAATCTTCCATGGCCAGGGAACTTTCTTTGCTGTTTGAGTCTGGGCTTACTCATGATGTACATAGGTTCTCCAAGGGCAGCTGAGCTGAAAGTCCAAGGTGGTCTCATTTATATTTATGAGTGTTGCTACTGGAGATTTGCTAGGTTGCTCTGGTTCACTGTATTTTATCCTTCAGAGGTTGGACCTTCAGAGCTTTTACATATGCCATCTTTAGGCCAGTATTCTCACAGTCTAGAAGAAACACAGAGAGTCTTCCTAGAGTTAACAGACTCATTTTTTCCACCACAACATGAGAGCAAGTGAAAATTCTGACCCTGATTCAGTGATGAAAAAAGACAGCACCTCTCAATTAGAAGACATACAAAGAAATTGTGGCCATACGGGTGAACCTGTACAATGAGAAAGTGGCCAGAGCTGCTATAATAAACAAAATACAGTGGCCCAAAAATAATGTATTTCTCCAATAACATAGCTGAATAGCTAATGTAGCTGTGTGAAAGAGAACCATTTAGACCGCTGTGCGGTCCTTCTTTGGTGGAGTTTCCTTTCACATTGTCTCTTTCTACCACTTCCTAGAGTGTTAATAACCTATTGTCATCATCACTGCAAAGACGGAGAAAGAGATGGAAGAATAACAATTTCTTCTTTAGCCAGTAATGCAGTAGCTGTATGCATTACTTTTTAGAACCTTCTCTTATGTAGAATTCAGTCGTACGGCCACATCCATCTATAAAGCTGACTTTTAAATTAAATCTCTAGCTGAGTGGCGGTGTGTCTAACTGAAATCTCAGTACTCTGGAGGAAAAAGAGAATCAGGTTGAGCAGGAAAAAAACAGTAGTCTGACTAAAAATTTGTATCTTAATCTGAAATGCTAGATTTGTTTCCAGAAATTAGTCTCTAGTTTAATCTTTTCACTTCCTGAAAATTCTATTCCTTGACTTTGCATCAGTTCTTTAGTTAAAAACTCCTTGCTTATCATTGCATTTGAATAGCTGTCCTAAATAATGCTTTGTCCTCTTTTACATTTGCCATAGAATTAAAATCTTGGAAATTATATATCATTGTAATTACTTAATTTTTTTATGTGAATCATGTGTAGCATTAACATTCATAACCTGGACTCTAATTTAGCTTGATTATTTTAGCACACTTGAAAGGCAGGGACTGTGAATTTCTCATGGACTGGATACTAAGTGTGAGGAACTGTAACTTCAGTGCCCATATAACTGGGAAAGTCCGTGCCCTCTGTGTGAGTATGCAGAAGACTAAAACTAGACACATCTCTCTCCATGCACTAAACTAAAATCAAAATGAATCAAAGATCTAAGTACTAAAACAGAAACACTAAATCAACTGGAAGACAAATTAGGTAAAAATCTTGAAGATACACGATTAAGCAGAGAGTGCAAGAACAAGTACAAACTGCATGGGAACTACTTCAAAGAAGTGACAACTAGGATCTCATCTTATTAAAAGGTTGTTACCCATTGAAAGAAGTCACCAACAGAGTGAAAAGACAATCCACAGACTGGGGAAAAAATTTAGCCAACTGTCCCTCATACAAAGAAGCATTTGCATGCACACAAAAGGATGCAGCTCAACTGTTACACAGGGATTTCTAGAACAGACAAAGAATTGAAAAACATCAGGCCCTATAAATTAAAAGACCCAACTGAAATATGGGTGTCTGAGATGTATACACACTCCTCAGATGAAGAAATAGAAGTGGCGAATAAAATACATGAAATAAAATACATGAAAAAATCTTTAACATATTGGTAATTCAAGACACACAAACTACAGCAACACGAGATTCCATCTTACCCAGTAAGAATGGCTATCATCAAGAAATCAACAAATAGCAAATGCTGGTGGGGCTTTGGGGGGAAAAGGAACCCTTCTCCTTAGTACGAATGTAGACTGATGCAACCACTGTAGAAATCAGTGTGGAGATTCCTCAAAAATCTAGGATTGGAGATCTCATTCAATGTAGCTATTCTCCTTCTGGGTATTTTCCCAGAAAAACTGAAAACATCATTCCACAGTGATATATCTGCACCTGTGTTTATAGCAGCACAATTTTTTTATTTAGAGAGAAAACAAAACAAAACGGTAAAAGGGTACGAGTAATACAGAATTTCAAGAAAAAAATATACAGTAAGAAATCACTAGTTAATAGATTACATATTGTCATCTTAGAAACAGTTGTCCAAATTGTAAAATTAAAGCATACAATGTGGTCATTCATACAGTGAGACTGCAGACAGTTCTGTTCAATGATCCAACAAAAACTCAGTAATATGGTTTTCTATCCTCCACACTTAAATATACATGCAGTTATATCCTTTAGATCATTTTCTTTTCCTCTCTTTTTTACAGTAAGAGTTATACATTTGGGGTTTTATTACTCCCACAGTTCTTATTACTTTTTTTTTGAAGAGAGAAAAAACCCAAAATGTGACAAAGCAAAACAGAGTCAGAACAGAAGGATGCACATAGTACATGATGCAAAAACAGAACACCAGTTGATCAACAATGGTTGCCATTATGCCACTTGATATCTTAAAAAGAGTTGCCTATATCATCAGGTATAATAGAATTGAACAAAACGGTACAGAACAAGACCAATGAAACCTACTTTGGAGACCTTACAGGACTTCAAAAGAAGATAATAGTCAAACTATCATGGGCATCATAGTAATTCTTATTGCCTTTAAAGTGGTTTCCTATACCCTCAAAATTGATACTATCAAATAAAACAGAATATAGTAAAATCAGTCAGTACAGGATGGGGAGAGCAATACAGTGGTTCAAATCAGGTTAATAGGAAAACAAAAATGCCACTATAATATATCCTGCTATTTTTAATTTAGTTTTCCCTTAATTAAAAAAATAAGAATAATAAATTAATTTTTAAAAAGGGGGGAGGGGGAGATTGAGATAAAAGAGGACATAGCAACAAAACAACACAGGTCAGAATCAAACAATTTAAGTATCATTTTGTTTCACCACCAGATAACCTGACATAATAGTAGTTACCATAGTGTCTCTTTCTTTGAAATATTTGAGTATGACTTCATATACTATAGCATTAAACATATCAAGACAGTGTGAAGCCATTCAAGAGAATGAAAGTATTACAGGGTATTTACAACCAGCTAACAGAAAATGAACAATGATTTCTATATTATCTCTTTGCCTATAAAAAATTGTGTTTACACTATTGCATATATTAAGATATAATAAGATACAGCATTTTAAAACCAATGGAATATAGCAGCACAATTTGTGATAGCTAAATCTTGGAAAAAGCCCAAATGCTCTTCAATCACGGAATGGTTAATAAAGATGTGGTGTTTTTATGCAATGGAGTATTATTCAGTTATAAAGAAGGACACGCTTGGGGCTTTTACAGATAAATGAACGCGACATGAGACCGTCATCATAACTGAAGTAAATTAGACTTGCAAGTGTAAACATCATATTGTCTCCCTAGTATAAAATGCTGAAAGAGTGAATAGGAGCCAAAATGTACAGTAGGTATTGTGGAAGTGAAAGGGGAGGAAACTGCTCAAAAGGAAGCAACAACTGAGATGGGGATAAAGGAAGAAAGAAAAAAGGGAAACCATCCTCCCCCCACCCCTCTCTGTATGTGTAATGCTAGACAATCATACTTCTGATCTCTTAGTTTATCTAAAAGGATAGTTTGTGCTTTCATTGTTTGATCATTTTTTCATACATATGTCTTATACTCTGAGCAGCTACTTTGAATATAACAATATGCAATATGTAAACCATTGTTAATTTGCTTTTACTTTGTTTTGAAATTCTGTATCATCACCATCTTTTTTTCATTTCAAAATTTAAGAAGAATGCTGGAGAAAAAAATAAAAGCATTTCCATTGTGTTCACTATGACAACTAAGTCACACATGGCTGAAGAATACACTGGCAATATTTTATTGTAGGGATTTTTGCAAAAAGAGTAAACCTTAGGTGCTCTTGGAAAATAAAGGAGAGTAGTTATGTGAGATAATAAATATGTTGGTTTCTTTGATTTTAATAAATATTTCACTAAGGAAATCTATGTCAAACTGGCTTACTGCCCATTTTAAACTATATACAATAAAAATATACAGCAAATGCCCACAACATGTTTCTGCCTTCAGACGCTTTGAAGTTGTTAATGCTCCGAATTTGCACATAGTTTTCTCTTCTTCTCGATCTTTATTCATCCTGAGGAGATGCCGCATCACAGTACAAAGGTTCCTCTACTGATAAGGACAGTCGCAGTGACGGAGCCCAAATCCATCCCCTAAGGAAGAGAAGCCAGACTCAAGGGCTGCAGGAGCCGAGTTTCTTTCAGAGGCCAAACAGACCGGACAGAGGCTGTCAGGGGTTTCCAGGGACGTGGTGGCGGAGGGTTAACCACAGTCTCGGGTGTTCATAGGGATGGGGGAATGGACCGCCTCTCGCTTGTAGTAGTAGTGACATCACTATGCACATTTGACCAGATTCGTACAAATGTGTGCCGGAAAGCATGGATCTTCCTGTTCGTCAGTTGTGCATGAATTAGGTGACAAGTGAAAAACAAGCAACTGGAAGACCCCTGTGCATTAGGGAACGTATTTGTGAGGTTCCTGGGACCCGTGTACTGTGTCTCTAGGGGCAGGGTGAGGAGCTGGAGATGCTCTCACACGAGGGGCCTCTGGAGAGCTCTGTCCCCTAGGTCCCCTAAGTTCCCGTGCACTGGGCCCTCAAATCCCAAGAGCACCCGTGCGCTGTATTTTAAGGGACCAGCGTATGCCCTGCAGTTCTGAGAACAAACGATTGATTTGGGACTCGAGTCCGGCTCTGGGCCCCAAGTAGAGTTTCCTCCCGGCTTCCTTTGGAA